ACTGACGTGTGCACATGTGTGTATAATGTGCACACGCATGCATGCATGTATCCTGTACACACACGTGTAGACTTGACATGCGTAGAAACATATATGACTGACCTGGGTGTGCATATAGGTGCATGTATGGCTGACTTCTGTATGTCTGTATGCACGGATAATGCACGTGTGTATGTGTCTAAGCTGTGCGTGTGTGTGTGTGTGACTGACAGGTGCAGCCTCGGCCCCCACACAGTCCTGCCTCTGCTGGTGGCCCAGCGTCACATGTCTATGCTGGCATCTGGCTGCCAGCCAGCAGTCTCCTCCCGCTCGCTAGCCTGTCCCCTGATCTGTGACGGGGCGATAATCCTGCCGGCCTCGCTGGGCTCTGAGGGCTTCAGGCAAACAGAATCGGCCGTATCTCCGTTTCCCAAAGTCTCACAAAAAGCGACTGATAGAGCCACGAGTCGAACCCAAGGCTCTTTCCCAACACGGGGCTGCGTTTGAAGGCACGGGGAGTTCCCGGGGCGTCTTTCTCTGGGGAATGCGTCTACCCCCCCGACCCGGCCCCACCTTGTCGATGTCTTCATGCCTCACGGGGAAGGAGAAGGTGAAGCCCAAGGGCAGTTTCTTGTGCTTCATCTGATGCTTGTCCAGGAAGTCAGAGATGCACTCAGAGATGTAGTCAAAGAGCTGGAAGACACACGGCAAGCTGGCCGTCGGCCGCAGCGCCCCGCCGCGGGCCACAGGAGAGCATGGCCTCCAAGCCTTCCCTTGGCTCCCCTGTGTCCCCTCTCCCGAATGCTGCTGCCACTGGGACAGCGCGACACCAGGATGGGCCTGGTCCCCAGCCCAGCTGGGCGCTGTCAGCCCGTGCCTCCCACTGGACCCCGTGGCGTCCAGCTGCACACTTCAGACAGAGGCACAGCCATGGCCAGCACTCGGATTTCTGCCTCTACCACCCAGAGTGTCCTTCGCTGCCTCCAGGTGTCCTGGCCACTGCTCGCCCAGCCCTGCCGGGGACTAGCCCCTACCCTACTCGTGTGGGCCTGGCCACAGAACTGGCTGTTGCTGAATACCCTGCTTATCAGCCAAGCTCCCTGCTGGGTGCTGGGGCCCCGTGAGGCATCCACAGCATCCCTGCTGCCTTGATTCATGGCCAGTCAGACAGCATGCAGGGTGTGGCGAGGACCAGGCTGCCACAGGACTCCTGCCTTGAAACCCTGGCCCCCAGGGGATGGGCTCTGCCTCCACCCGCCTCCTCTGAGGGCACCTGTACTTCTGTACCCTCTCCTGAGCCCTCCCCACGGGCAGGGTAGTATTCCCGCCTGGGCAGACATTATGACTACAGTGACCCCACTCGGTGTCTTTGCCGGTGGCAGGTGAGGGGGGGACACACAGGGAGAAGACCGAATGCATGGGCTCTGTGCTGCTTGGACCAGTGTGTTCTCTCAGCTGCCCTGTCACACCTGTGATTCTTCTGGGAAACTGGGCAGAAGGTGACCTGCTGGGGCCATGCCTGGTGGCCATCCAGGTAGGCCTCTCACCGGCCTCCCTAGGCCCTCTGAGGCTGGCTGGCTCTCCCGCCCACAGGTGCCCCTGGCCCTGGTAAACAGGTGGGCCCTCCCGCCAGGACTAGCAAGCTCAGAGACCCTGGGCAGACTTGATCCCGGCCCCACAGCCCCTGGCCCCCGGCCCCTGGCCCAGCTGCTCACCATCTCAGCAGTGCCGGTCATGGCATCCTCGGGGATGGAGTACATCTGGTGTTTGGTTGTCACACTCCACTGCCCCTCCTCGCCCTCCCCCACCTTCACCAGCATCACCCTGAAGTTGGTGCCGCCCAGGTCCAGGGAGAGGAAGTCCCCGACTTCTGCAGACACAGGGAGAAGCGCATCAGCCTCGGGGCCCTGCCCGGCAGGACCCCAGACTGGGGAGAGAAGGAGAGGAGGGAGTGGGGGAAATCAGAGAAGCTGGACAAGGGGGCTGCTGACGCTGGCATCTGGGGGGCCCCAGGTCCACTGGGGAAACGGTCAGAGGTGAGCTGGGGAACTCCATGGGAATTCACTGCCTTGGACCGGAGCCGTCCCGAGCCCAAGGTGCCAAGTGAAGACCTAGTAAAATGGCCCAGACTCAGGTTTGGGCTGGGGGGAGGGAGTTCCCCTGCCACCCTGGAGAACAGGTTTCTTATCGTGAGATGCGAATGGCTCATTTTCTTGAGGCCGGGGTGAAGACCCCAGGGCTGGGCTGGCAGAGCTTGGGGTGGGAACCAGCCTGTGTTGGGGCCGACATGGGGAGGGCCTGTCTGGGGTCTCGGGGGATAGTCCGAGCTGTAAGCAAGGACCTGGGGGGTCTCTCCCTGCTGGGGCCTGGGGCTGGCCGTCCCCAGCTGAGCAGCTTCTGGCTGCCGTGTGGGGCCCCTCCCTGCCCGCCCGGGACAGCATACCTGAGCCCTCTGGGGTGGAGCGCACGTAGGTGGGCAGCATCTTCACGCTGGCCTCCTCGTGGGTCTCCAGCCGCAGGCCCCGCGCCATCTCCTTCTGCATCCGCCGCATCACCTTCTTCAAGTCAGCCTCCTGCAGCTGGAAGTCGGCCAGGATCTGCTCTGCCTGTGCAGGGGTGGGGGGTGGGGAGCAGCTGCGTGGGGTGGGGGCCTGGATGGCCCAACTCACGGGCATCCCGCACACACCAGGGGTCTCCCTGGCCCCCTGGCCCTGGGTCCGAGATGACCCCTCAGTTCAAATTTCCTGTTAAGACCAGCTGAAAAGCTAGAACAGCAGCCCCTCGCCAGCCCAGGGTACAGCCCATGAGCGGGCCAAGCCAAGCACTGCTATCCTGTAACGTTTTGCCGGTAATCTGGTTTCGTGCCGGGCATGTGGCCCAGTTCTGGCCAATGATAGGGAAAGAGAAGTCTGATGTTAGCAGGACCTTCCCTTCCCGGGAAGGTCAGTGCCTGCCTAACTGTGAACACAGCTGTGTAAGAGCGTGATGACTGGCACTGCAACAGCTGTCCTGTGACAATGGGGAGACAAGGCTGTTGGCGAGGAGGGATGGTGGGAAGAGAGGCAGAGCAGCCCAGCCCCGATGTGCTGGCCAGCTCTGGATCCTTCCACCTCCACGTGCTGCTTGTGGGAGCAAACACGAATCACTGGAAGCTATAGTTAAGCCAGGTTTTTGGCTCCCGGCTGCCAACAGCATTCCCAAGGCATACAGGTCCTTCCTTAGGCACCACATCCCTACACTTAAAGTTTGAACCCAGGGAAGGTCACAAAGGGACGGGGCTGACAGAGTCCGTGACAAAACACACAGAACCAAACACCAATGTTTGCCAAGCCGTTCTGCAGCTCTGGGCCCAGCACAGCCCCAGAGATGCCCTCCTTCTTGGCGGAGCAATCCAGGCCGTTCTCAGGGGCGCACGGCCACAGGCTGGCCCCCTCTGTCTGTCTCTCACACGCTTTCAAATGTAAAATGTGCCAGCAAGGAGTGGAAACATTAACACTTGCAGAATTCTGCCAACACGCCACGCCCCGAGCCCAGCGCAGCATACCGGCTGTCGCGATTCGCTGGGAGGAGGCGCCCGCAGCGGCTTCGAGAAGAGCGCAGGCTCGCAGAAGCCTCTTTTGAGGTGCGTGCAGCCAGCGTGCCTCGTGGCCCGCACTCAGGGCCGCACGTGCAAGAGCCGAAGTCCCTGAGAGGCGGCCAGGCATCTCCCCGGAGACAGGATTGTCCAGAGGGACCGAATGTAAGATATCACAGACTCTTAGCAAGAGTGAAGCAGACGCTGCAAAGGTCCAGCCTCAGACCCCGCCCCATTGCTGTGCTGCCCGCTCGGTGGCCGTGACCCTAGACTCATGAGGGGCATCAGGCCAAAGGCTTCGCTTCGCCCTCTGTGTCCAGGCCCACTGTGGGTCTCTGCCACGGATGGTAAAAACCGCCCTCTGCCAGCTTCCAGGCTACAGAGACCCTTGTGTGGAACCCCGGAAATCACAGGAAGTCAAACCACTGGGTCAACGGGCAACATTTAATTTCAACCTAGCCATTTCTCTCCAAGAATCCGTTCTATAGAAAGGGTCCCGGAAGCACATAAGGGCACGCGGTGCTGGGACGGCAGACTCAGGAAGACCCCACATCCGCCCCGGGACGGCCCATCCCTGCTGGGACACCACACAGTAGGAGTAGATGATCCCATTCTGTCAGTCAAGTTGCTTCTGGCTGTGGGTCTCACTTTGTCCTGTACAATATTCTCAAAAGCTTAAGTTTGCTGCCAACATTTAAGTAGAGACACTTGTACAGACAAATCTGGATTTGGCAGCATTTCTGCAAAAGCAGGTCTGCACTCTCGCTGGGGCCGTGGGGAGGCCACCCACCTGGGCAGGGTGTGTTGTGGGGGAGCCTGTCCCCCTGGCAGTGAGGGGGGGCTGTGCAGGAGACACCCGGTCACCTGCCCTCATGCTGGGCCCTGCCCAAGCGAGACTCTGCAGGGTCCAGCACTGTCCACACCACAGGACTATGGGGGACCCACGTCCCCAGGCCCCCACACTGTGTGCATTTCCTGTTCCTTGTGTGTATGGGTAGGGGAGGGGTGCTGCTGGGCAATTCCTCTAGGTGGCCACGGGCTGACACTGGCCTCCAGCACACCTTGCCTCTCACAGTGAGGAGTGACCTCCGGGGTGGGTGCAAGCCCCCTCCTTACGTGCATTGGGGCCTACAGACACCTGGTTCTCCTGGACCGGGGATCCTTTACCCCAGGAACATATGGGCAACCGGCCCAGGGTCACCCACTGTGTGTTCACAGCACCGGAGCCAGGCTGCCGCTGGACCCATGACAGGCTCACACTGGCCTCCAGAGTGCTGGGACGGGCGCTGGAACCCACAGGTCCTCCCGGCGTTTGCACCTTTGGGCCTTCCCCTCAGTGTCCTCATGTGACAGGCTGGGACACCCCCAGGTATCCTGCTTTCTTCTCTGAGTCCTGGGGATGAGGTCCCAGAGCATATAAAGGGGGCAGATGTCCTGCCACCTGAGCCCCCCAGATGCACCCCCATCCAACCCACCCAGACAGCTTGACCCCTCCCACTTTCCCTCTCCGACCTCGACACCCGATGACGTTGTCCAGGCTGGGGCCTTAAGGACTGTCTGCACACTGATGCCTGGGCACCCGCAGAGGCTCCGTTCACTGAGACGGGGTGGGGCTGGGGAACACCAGGTGCTTGGGCTCAGCATGTTGGCATGTCTGTTAGCCAAGGGGAGATGGGTACCAAGTGGCAGATGGCTATGTGAGGCCTGAGCTCAGGGGACAGTCTGGCCTTGTTGGCCCCAGGAGTGAGTGCCCTGGAAGACACGGGCCCTACAGACCCTTCCTGGAGAGTCTGGACCGTGGGTGTCCGGAGGGGATCGTCGGGGGGGGGGGGCGGTCAGTGACAGCACAGCTGCCCTTCAGCCTGAATGCTTCCTTCCAGGAGGCCAGCATCACCCCGACATCGACGTCGACTGCCAAACCGACTGCCCCGTATGCACGGTCCGGTGGGGCGAAGCACTGTCCCTCGCTCTTGGATGGTCCTTACCAGATTCGAGGCTGTCTGGGCCTGGCTCCTGGTGGCACCCATCGTCATCTCTCCGAGGGGCCAAGAGGCAGGTTTTGGGGGGAGGTGGAGATACCCCGCCTGCTGAGGTGCAGGGCTGGGCTGCAGGCTGGAGACTGAGGCCCACCTGTACAGGTGAGGGCCACCTTGTGGGAATGGTGCCCTCGGCAGGCCGCCCAGGGCTTCTGCACGGAGAGTGCTTGGCCGGCAGGTGTTGAAATACTCTGCTCACTGCCACCAGGTCAGGCGGGGCCGGAGGGCAAAGGCGGCCCGCGCAGGGTCAGGGCTGACCAGGACTGCGGGGACAAGGCCAGGGGGCGGTGCTCATGCTCTCTGCACCCCGGTGTGGGGATTAGCTGCCAGGAGGTGCTGTGGGGAGGGGGCAGAACTAGTCTATCTGCCTTCCGGTCCTTGGAGGTGCCAGGGCTGGGGGTCGCCACACTGCCGGGGGCAGGAAAGTGCAGTGAAGAGCCCCGTGCACAGGGAGGGCCCGAGAGGGCCTGGCCCGTGCAGGCCAGACTGTGGCCCCGGGAATCCCTGGTGGGTTTTCGGGGAGGCTGAAAGAGACCCTGCCCCAACCCCCCAGCAGGATGTGAAGGGAACTCCTCCTCCCCTGCTCTGCCCCGCCCCTCCTGTCTGTGGTGCATGTGTCCCTTTGGCCAATGAGGCCGCAGGATTGATGGGGGGGGGGGCGTTGCTCAAGACCTCATTTGGGCCAATGAGAGCCGAGCCCAGGGGACTGGGGGGGCGGGGAAGGAAAGAGGAAGGTCTTCAAGATGGGGGTGCGATGCCACCCCGATGGCTGCCCCCAGCCCAGGGCCATCCCCCCGCTCCAAGGTGAAAAATGCTTGTTTTTGTCAGGACTTGTAAACTGTAAATCATTAAAACCTGCCTCTAAATGTTGGGGGTCATTCTTGGGTTTGGGCAGTAGAGGTCCAGGCAGGAGCTCGCTCTGGATGCTGGACGGCATGCAGCGTCCCCCCGGCCCAGCCCCCAAGGGGAGTGAACTTGTCGCGCCCAGTATAGGCATCTGCGAAGCCCTGCTAAAATTAGCAGGAGCTCCCGAGTTGTTGGGGGTGGGGGGATGGTGGACGGACAGAATGCCAGACTCTCCCGCCAATGTCCAGTGGGTCACCCCGAAGAAAGCCCTTGGCACGATCGATCCCTTTCCTAATATAGAGCAAAAGCACCTTCACCAGACCCACTTGTAACAGGTCACTGACCCACCAGCCCCTGGCTCTGAGCCGCCGTTTTTTTCTGTGTGTGCGGTGATGGGGCTCATCCTGGGTTTGGATGGGGGTGGGGGTGGGGGTCCTTCTGGACCAGCCAAGCTAAGAAGCAGCTGCCCTTCTCCTGGAGCGAGCACACAGCCCCTGAGAAGAGGCTCAGAATCCTCCAGCCCTCTCCTCTGGGAGGCTGGGGTGGACAAGGGCTAGGGCACACGGCCCCCTTTCTCGTTAGTTGGACTTCCCCTTGCAAAGCTTGCCCTTTGGCCAGCAAGCATCCTTCCCCAGAGCCCTTTCCCTGGCCCCCCTCCATGCATTTTGTGGCAACAGTAGCGCCGGAAGGGGTCCCCACTTCCCCATGCTAGACAGTCCTGCAGAGCCAGACTCAGTCCTCATACCAGCCCTGTGTGCCTATCACTTGTCCTGTCTCATCTTCAGATGGGGAGGTGACATCAGTGAGTCTGGGCTCTAGGTGAGGGTCTGACCCGTCCAGATAAGAGGGTCCAGGAAAGGTTGGGCCTCAGAGTAAATGGCTTATGAGAGACATACTTAAGAGTCTTCGGTATCTCAAGGGCAGTCCTAAAGAGGATGGAGGAACATAGTTTGTGCATAGGGTTTCTTAAAAACAATGACAACACAGAACTTCTTGACAATGGGCTAGGATGTTTCAGTAGATAGTGAGCTCCCCATTTAACAGGGAGAGAGAGCAGGATCCCAGGGACCTTGCTCTGCGTTGCAGCCAGTCTTCTCATCCCTTGGCTGCGCATGAAGCTAGGTCAACAGGCACGATTTCATTTTCTTCTTGATTTACCTCTAGGGAATAATCTGACAAGTTCAAGTGGTAGAGATTCCAGGATGAAAAAATGGCACATAAGCCTCATATCCAGCTATAGGGAATGAGTTCGATAAATTATGCTACATTTATGAGTCATTAAAAATAATAAGATCGATCTGCCTCTCTTGGCATGGAAAGATGTCCCTGACATACTGTTAGAGAGAATGTGGCAGCTGTCCTCCATTGGGGCCTCCAGTGAGCCCCACTTCTGTTATTTGCCCCCCCATGTGGTCCCCACCTATGCTGAGGAGGCCTAGCCTGTGTAACGAATAGGATATTGCAGAAATGACAGAGTGTGACTTCTAGCTAGGCCATCAAAGACATGGTGGTTTCTGCCTCGCTCTCTCTTGGATTCTTCATGTGGAGGGAAGCCAGCATGAGGACAGTCAGGTCCTATGGGGAGGTCTACTGAGAAGAACGGAGGCCTCCTGCCAATGGTTCAGCAACCACTTGCCAGGCAGGTGAGTGAACCATCTTGGGAACAGATCCACCTGCCCCAGTCGAGCCTTCAGATGATGGAGCCCCAGCTGGCTTCTTGGCTGCAACCTCACAAGACCCTGAGCCAGAACCCCCAAGCTGAACCACTCCTGGACTCCTGACCCACAGAAACTGTGTAAGATAATAAAGTCTTGTCTCAAGCCACGAAGTTCTGAGGTGATATTTGACACAGCAACAGATGACTAATACAGAGGGAAAATGGATAGAAAATATAGCCTGATCCATTTTTGTCATATAGATGTATACTACATATAATTCACACATGGGAAGAAATAGAACAAAGTGATCAGAGTAATTATCTTGATGGTGAAAATAGGAGTGCTTTTATTTTCCTTTTTGCTTACCTGTATTTCCTATGTTTTTCTGCAATGAATGTGTAATAGAGAAATATATTTTTTTAAAACCTATTTAACTTGTTGGGGGGGAGCACATGAGCAGGGGGAGGGGCAGAGGGAGAGGGAGAAAAGATGCCCAAGCAGACTTGACACTGAGCATGGAGCCTGACATGGGGCTCGATCCCACAACCCTGAGATCATGGCCTGAGCCAAAACCAAGATCGGATGCTCAACCAACTGAGCTTGAGTGCAAGCTCCCCGAGAAATAGTTTTAAGTAAAGTTAGCAAAACAAAAGTGTCAGTTAGGCCTCATCTGCTATTTTTGCCCAGAAGCTTTGAGGCCCAGACTCTGAAGGATGGAGGTTCACAGTTAAATTGGAGCTTTCCAGACCCCGTATTCCAGTGGGATAGAAAATGGGGCTGGGAGCCAGAGAGCCCAGCATGCAGCCCCACCCCTCCCCCAGGCCTGGTGGCCCTTGGCACCAGCTGGGCACCTGTGCGGGCACTTCCCTGTACTGATGCAACAGGGCCTAGAGGTCAGCACAGTGTCGCAAGTGTTTGCTTACTGCAGGGTAGACTGGCTGTGCCCTTGTGTGAGGGGGGCCAGGGGCCTGGGGGTAGGATGATGTCAGGCACAGAGGCAAGGAGGAAATGAACCTAGAGACAGCAGAACATACGGGGGTGATGATAACGAGCCCCCAGCAGCCTCCACACATGGCCTGCTGTGGCTGACGCTTTATGTGGATCGCAACTGACCTGTGAGCTCAGGGCTGTCATTTCATATGGGGAAACCGAGGCCCACAGCAGCGAAGGGACTTCAGAGATCCCACAGGTGTAAGTGACGTGGCTGGGATTCATCCCCAGGTCGGCCTGACTTTAGGTAGGCTGGCAGGTTAGTCTTCCTGACTAGATGGAGGGCTCCTTCAGGGCCAAGCATGCACAGGGGTCAGGAAAGAGCCTCTGGAGCTGCCTCCGGGCTAGAAATGTTCGGAGACCTCAGCTTCGGCTGGCGGGGGTGGCCGTGGTCATGGCCACCAAGGTCTGCATTGCCCGGTGTTTGCCTCTGACAGCAGGTGGCGCTGGAGGCCTGGGGCCAGGTGTCGGGGCAGAGGAAGAGTGAGGGAACAGGGAGCATCCTGCACGCTGGCTGGGAAGGGGGCAGCAGAGTGCACGGATCACCCAGGACCATGATATTGCGGGGGTGGGATAGGAGCATGAGGTCACCAGCCCAAAGTCTGAAGACTGACTGCCATTAACTGCCTGTATTTCTTGGGCAAGTCCCTTAACTTTCTGCAGTTCAGTTTCCCTATCAGTAAAGTGGAGATAACAATGTACCTCCCTCACGGGGCTATTGAGAGGATCCAACAGGTTAATGCAGATAAGATTCTTGGCAATCCAAGTTGTTCAATAACTTGTAGCTATTTTTGCTACCAGAGGAAGCTTTAGCCCCTCGGTCAGAGTTTAGAACACGGGCCGTCCAATACTTGAGATCTACGGCAGGTGTAAAGCCAAATCCCCATCCCTGTGCCTGCTGATTATTTTGGAGTGTCCTAAGGACACAGGCAGGTGGCAGAGTCTCTTTGATGCCAGGCTTGCCCTAAAGCAGTGTGGCTTATTGTCTGAAAAGAGAATGATTCGGAGTGACATCACAGAAAACGCTGAAGGAGGACACTCCAGGGTTAGTTCCCCCAGCAAAACAGCCGTCACTTAGAAAAAAGGATCAAAATTAATTAATTTGGAACTGGCAAGCCTGATCAGACAGTTACAGCAACTAGGGGAGTGCTTGAGGAAAGAAGAAAAGAAGAGGTTACTGATGGCTTGAGAGTGAGCAGGATGCACAAACCAGCTCCCACAGCTAATCCCTATCATGGCCGTGGGGACAGCACCCATGTCCCGAAAACACCTGGCTGGAGGGAGGGTGGGCAGCCAGGGCCTTGGGTTGTGCACTTTGGTTGTTCTGGGCTTCCTGGGGGCTCAGTGCAGAGCTTACCTTTGTTTCAGCCTGAGCTATACAAAGCCAGTTAAATGTTCCTTTTGGGGGGGGGGAGGAATCTAGATATTTAAGAAAATCTCTGTCAGGTCACAGGCTGACTGCAGAAACATCAAAACAGAAACTTCTTCAGGGATCACATGTGA